CCGACCCCTCCCCCAGTTTTGGGGTCCCCCCTGAGCCCTCCCCTCCCCCACAGCCCCCCCGGGCTCACGTCTCCACCGTCGACGCCAACGAGAGCGAGGAGGTTCGGCAGTTCCGGCGCCTCTTCACCCAGCTGGCCGGGGAGGTGAGGGATCCGCCGGGATCCTCCGGGATCCTCCGGGATCCTCCGGGATCCATCCGAGCCTTGGGAACCCCCCAGGATCCACTGGGATCCTCCGGGATCCTCCGGGATCCACTGGGATCCTCCGGGATCCTTCGGGATCCACCCGAGCCTTGGGAACCCCCTGGGATCCTCTGGGATCTGCTGGGATGTGCTGGGATCCTCCGGGATCCTCCGGGATCCTCCGGGATCCATCCGAGCTCTGGGAACCCCCTGGGAATCCTCTGGGATCCACTGGGACCCCCTGGGATCCACTGGGATCCTCCGGGATCCTCCTGAGGTCTGGGAACCCCTCAGAACCCTTTGGGATCCTCCGGGATCCTCCTGAGGTCTGGGAACCCCTCAGAACCCTTTGGGATCCTCCGGGATCCTCCTGAGGTCTGGGAACCCCTCAGAACCCTTTGGGATCCTCCGGGATCCTCCTGAGGTCTGGGAACCCCTCAGAACCCTTTGGGATCCTCCGGGATCCTCCTGAGGTCTGGGAACCCCTCAGAACCCTTTGGGATCCTCCGGGATCCTCCTGAGCTCTGGGAACCCTTTGGGATCCACTGGGATCCAGCCGAGCTCTGGGAACCCTTTGGGATCCTCCAGGATCCCCTCGAGGGTTTGGGATCAAGATTTGGGGTTCCCAGAAAATTCGGGATCAGGATTTGGGGGATTCCCCGGGGTTTGGGATCAGGATTTGGGATGGGGACAAGGTTTGGGATCAGGGTTTGTGGATCCCCCAGGGGATTGGGATCAGGATTTGGGGGATCCCCGAGGTTTGGGATCAGGATTTGGGGGATCCCTGAGCTTTGGAATCAGGATTTTGGGGTTCCCGAGATTTAGGATCAGGATTTGTGGGTCCCCCAGGGGATTGGGATCAGGATTTGGGGGATCCCAAGATTTGGGATCAGGATTTTGGGGTTCCCTGAGCTTTGGGATCAGGATTTGGGGGTTCCCGAGGTTTGGGATCAGGATTTTGGGAATTCCTGAGATTTAGGATCAGGATTTTGGGGTTCCCTGAGCTTTGGGATCAGGATTTGGGGGATCCCAAGATTTAGGATCAGGATTTTGGGGTTCCCTGAGCTTTGGGATCAGGGTTTGGGGGATCCCGAGATTTGGGATCAGGATTTGGGGGTTCCCGAGGTTTGGGATCAGGATTTGTGGGTCCCCCAGGGGATTGGGATCAGGATTTAGGGATCCCCCAGGGGATTGGGATCAGGATTTGTGGATCCCCCAGGGGATTGGGATCAGGATTTGGGGGATCCCCCAGGGGATTGGGATCAGGATTTGGGGGATCCCCCAGGGGATTGGGATCAGGATTTGTGGATCCCCCAGGGGATTGGGATCAGGATTTGGGGGTTCCCTGAGCTTTGGGATCAGGATTTGGGGGATCCCAAGATTTGGGATCAGGATTTGGGGGTTCCTGACCCCCCCATTCCCCCCCAGGACATGGAGGTGAGCCCCACCGAGCTCATGAACATCCTCAACAGGGTCGTCACCCGCCGTGAGTGCCCCCCAAAAACCCAGCTCGGGGGGCGGATTTGGGGGTGCCGGAGACTCCTGAGGGGTCCCTGGTGATTTTGGGGACCCCCCCAAAACCCCAAAACCCCCCCAAAACCCCAAACCCCCCCCCCCCAGATCCCGACCTGAAGACGGACGGCTTCGGGCTGGACACCTGCCGGAGCATGGTGGCCGTCATGGACGTATCCCGGGGTTTTTTTGGGGGGCTTTTTGGGATTTTTGGGGGGTCCCTCCGGAGGTTTTGGGGTGCGGGGAAACTCGGGGGTCCCCCCAGACCCCCAAAATCTCCTTGACGAGCCCCCCCCCAGAGCGACACCACCGGGAAATTGGGGTTCGAGGAGTTCAAATACCTCTGGAACAACATCAAGAAGTGGCAGGTGGGGACCCCAAAATTTTGGGGAGGGGTGGGGGTTGGGGTGGCGAAAACGCGGTGGGGGTCCCCAAAAATACCCGGGGGGGGAGCTGAAGTTGAATAAAATCCCAAAATTTGGGGTGCTGAGGGTGGGAGGAGACCCCAAAACGGACGGAGAGGCCAAAATTTGGATCCCGAAAAGGCGAAAATCGAGGAGAGGTTGAATTTTGGGGGGGTGGGAGGCACCCCAAAAATCGGGATGGGAACCCCAAAATCGGGGTTGGGGCGTCCCAAAATCGCGGGGAACTCAGAACTGGGGAAGATCCCAAAATTAAGGGGACGCCCTAAAAGCTGCGACCCCCCAAAATCGAGGGAGGAGCCCAAAAACCGGAGGGGTGAGACCCCAAAATTGCGGGGGGAGCCCAAAAACCGGGGGGGTGAAACCCCAAAATTTCCCCTCTTAAATCCCATCCCCCCCCCCAAAAAATGAGGAGGGGGCTCCAAAAAACCTCCCCAAACACCCCAAAATTTTTTGGGGTGTAATTAAGAGGGGGGTGGGCAACCCCAAAATTGGGAATTCGGGGTTTTGAATCCTTGAAATTTGGGTCGGGGGAGGGGAGGGTTTTGGGGGAGTTTTTGGGGTTTTGAGGTTTGGGAGGGTCCCCAAATTTTGGGGAGGGGGTGAAAGGGGATTTTGGGGTCCGGGACCACCCCCCAAAATTGGTTTTGTTTGCTCAGTGTGTGTACAAACAATTCGACACCGATCGCTCGGGGACCATCGGACCCCAGGAGCTGCCGGGGGCCTTCGAGGCCGCAGGTTTGGGGTTTTTTGGGGGGATTTTGGGGTTTTTGGGGGTTTTTTTGGGGGGGTTTGAAGCATTTTTGGGGGGGTTGAAGCATTTTTGGGGGGGTTGAAGCATTTTTGGGGGGGTTGAAGCATTTTTGGGGGGGTTGAAGCATTTTTGGGGGGGTTGAAGCATTTTTGGGGGGGTTGAAGCATTTTTGGGGGGGTTGAAGCATTTTTGGGGGGGTTGAAGCATTTTTGGGGGGGTTGAAGCATTTTTGGGGGGGTTGAAGCATTTTTGGGGGGGTTGAAGCATTTTTGGGGGGGTTGAAGCATTTTTGGGGGGGTTGAAGCATTTTTGGGGGGGTTGAAGCATTTTTGGGGGGGTTGAAGCATTTTTGGGGGGGTTGAAGCATTTTTGGGGGGGTTGAAGCATTTTTGGGGGGGTTGAAGCATTTTTGGGGGGGTTGAAGCATTTTTGGGGGGGTTGAAGCATTTTTGGGGGGGTTGAAGCATTTTTGGGGGGGTTGAAGCATTTTTGGGGGGGTTGAAGCATTTTTGGGGGGGTTGAAGCATTTTTGGGGGGGTTGAAGCATTTTTGGGGGGGTTGAAGCATTTTTGGGGGGGTTGAAGCATTTTTGGGGGGGTTGAAGCATTTTTGGGGGGGTTGAAGCATTTTTGGGGGGGTTGAAGCATTTTTGGGGGGGTTGAAGCATTTTTGGGGGGGTTGAAGCATTTTTGGGGGGGTTGAAGCATTTTTGGGGGGGTTGAAGCATTTTTGGGGGGGTTGAAGCATTTTTGGGGGGGTTGAAGCATTTTTGGGGGGGTTGAAGCATTTTTGGGGGGGTTGAAGCATTTTTGGGGGGGTTGAAGCATTTTTGGGGGGGTTGAAGCATTTTTGGGGGGGTTGAAGCATTTTTGGGGGGGTTGAAGCATTTTTGGGGGGGTTGAAGCATTTTTGGGGGGGTTGAAGCATTTTTGGGGGGGTTGAAGCATTTTTGGGGGGGTTGAAGCATTTTTGGGGGGGTTGAAGCATTTTTGGGGGGGTTGAAGCATTTTTGGGGGGGTTGAAGCATTTTTGGGGGGGTTGAAGCATTTTTGGGGGGGTTGAAGCATTTTTGGGGGGGTTGAAGCATTTTTGGGGGGGTTGAAGCATTTTTGGGGGGGTTGAAGCATTTTTGGGGGGGTTGAAGCATTTTTGGGGGGGTTGAAGCATTTTTGGGGGGGTTGAAGCATTTTTGGGGGGGTTGAAGCATTTTTGGGGGGGTTGAAGCATTTTTGGGGGGGTTGAAGCATTTTTGGGGGGGTTGAAGCATTTTTGGGGGGGTTGAAGCATTTTTGGGGGGGTTGAAGCATTTTTGGGGGGGTTGAAGCATTTTTGGGGGGGTTGAAGCATTTTTGGGGGGGTTGAAGCATTTTTGGGGGGGTTGAAGCATTTTTGGGGGGGTTGAAGCATTTTTGGGGGGGTTGAAGCATTTTTGGGGGGGGTTGAAGGGGTTTGAAGCATTTTTGGGGGGTTTGAAGCGTTTTTGGGGGGTCCCAGGTCAGCTGTGCCCCCCCATTTCAGGATTCCGGCTGCCCCCCCCGCTTTGGGGGGTTTTGGGGCGTCGTTACGGGGACGAGGGGGGGAACCTGGACTTCGACAACTTCATCAGCTGCCTCGTGCGCCTCGACGCCATGTTCCGTACGGGAACCCCAAAAAAACCAAAATCGGGGGGAAAAAACCAAAATCGGGGGGAAAAAACCCAAAATCGGGGGGAAAAA